TTTCTGTCCAATTTCACTTCAGAATATTTTGAATTTCTAATCTCTGATATTAAATCTGCAGATTCACTAGCCTGTAGTACTGTTCTAGGTTGTTTATCTCTAACTAAATATCTTAATTCAGCAGCCAAAGCTGAATAAAATTGTTCCAATCCTATGAGGTGCTGCATGTCCTCCAAAGTTGTCACTTGAGATTGCTCCATCCATTTCCGTAAATATTTAACTAGATTTGCCCCAAATTGTGAATATGACTCATCAGGTTTCTTACTTAACTGTCTAAATTTAAGTCTGAGTTTTTCACAGGTTATTCCAAATCTTGAGAAAACTAATTTCTAAAGAGCTCATAATTTCTAGCTTGGTCTTCTGACATACTAGCATAAATTTCGGACATTTCAGCACTAATTAAAGACCTTAATATCAGCATACGTTCTTGTTCTGTCACACTATAGTCCCAACAGGCTCTCTCAAATGAAATTAGAAAAGATTCAGGGCAATCTCCTTTTTTTAAATTGAGGGAATTTCCTAAGGTCTACTTTTGTAGACCTTCATTTGTACTATTACTGTTATTACTATTTAGAGATTCTATTTCTAGTTTTTTCATCTCTAATGCATGTTGCATTTCTTGTTGCCTCATTGGGCCTCTGCCTTTTCTCTCATTTCTAATTGTTTCAACTGAAATTCCTGTTCTTTCTCAAATTTCCACATTATAAACTCTAGCGAGTTGTTTTCTCTCCCTGAGGCACCCTCCTGTTCCCTCGAGCACTCATAATCCTGGCCCTCTTGGTCTGAAATTTCCTCTTCCTGAGGTAAAGTCTGACCCTCAGCAAATTCCATAACTGCCTTCTTCCCTCACTTGGAAGGCACACCCAACTGTTTTTAATTTGAAAAAGTTGGCAGGTTGCTTTCTCCCCAATTCCAATTTACAAGCGTCTGTTTAAAATGACCTCTTTTTTCCTGTGTTAGAGATTTAAACTATGTAGCTTTCTTTTGGCAGCTTAAGATCGCTACGTTGTATCTTTGGGTTTCAGCCTCGCTGTCTGTTGTGTCTGTTACTTTGTATCTCTTGGTCTACAGACACCCAGATTTTCCAAACAATATTTTTCTTTTGTATGCCTCAGTTATCTTCACCTCCACTGTTCTTTTTAGACCTTGGCTTCCACTTTTAGGTCCCCTCAGTGCTCCCCCTCTCAGAGCTTTGGGATCTAAAGCTAGCCCTCTTGGTCCTCACCCTCTCAGCTTCAGGTAAACTTTTAACCACAGTATAGAAATCTCCTCAGAGTCCTTTTCCTGCCTTTGTCTTGCCACAATCAGGAGTCCCTATCAAGCTATTCACCTTAAGTCTTAGGGTTCCCTACTCCTTCAGTTGGCCTATTGACAACCAGGTCTCTTAGACTCAGAGATTTTTCTTTTTTACTTTAGGCTTTCTGGTATTCCTTCGCTTAGAATCCCAGACTCAGAAAACTTCTCTTTATTTTGGCTCACTGGATTTCTTTCGAATCCGAACCGCTCGCCACCACTTTTGTGACACACCCTAAATTCCCCGGTTTATTTCTCTACACAACCCAAGTTCACTTTCAGGTGTGACATTTAGATTTCAACCCTTTCCGCTGCCACCAGAGGATTTCTCCTCACTCTATCAAATAAAACTCTTCAATCAGTGTGATTCAATTAAACAATGTTTATTAAAATGTTCACAAGTAAATCATGTAAAGTAAATCAGGGATGCTCTTATTTTATTCATGCAATCAATTGTGCTTCAATAACATTTATTTTTGATTAGTTATAATCATTTCAATCAATATAGTTATTCATTTCTTATCATGTTCTCTCTTTCTCTATTCTTCTCTAATACCAGCCTAGTCTTAACTGCCTAAATTGCTTCTCTCTAACTGAAGTCTCTAACACAGATTCTAACTAACACCAAACTCTAACTGAAGTCCTCTCTAACCCCTAACTCCAGAACTAACTCAGACACTAACTCTCAACTCAGACTGTAACTGATCTTTTACTGTCATCCATTCTCTTATATATCCCTAGTTTCACCTTTTCTGTACAGCTATTGGCTCTTGAATCAAGGTTCTATTGTGATGGACAGGAGTGGTCCCTGACCTGTCCGTCACAGTGATCGATATCAATGGGTGTCGATCGGTATGAACATTGAAGGTGCGCCCATGGACAGGGGTCAATATTGAGGGTCTTTGATCAATATCAATGTCGAAGGTGCATCCATAGACAGGGGTTGATAGCAAGGGTCTTGGACTGCTATCAACATCAAAGGTGTGTCCATGGACAGTGTTCAATATTGAGGATTGCCAATATCGAAAGGGTCAGTATTGAGGTGTGTCAAAATGGAGGTTGCTGTCAATGTCTAGAGAGCTGTCAAGGTGATAAAAGCATTGATGGAAAACACTGTATTATGGTGGAATAAACAGATGCCAGTGACACTGAGAAGGATGAGCGTTCAGGGTCCTCCTAATGGAGAGGCAAATAGTAACTTGCCGTTGCGGCAACGTGCCTGGAGTCAAGGAGTATCGATCGGCTTGGTTGGGGCTCTTAGGTGCTGGCAGATAAGAGGTGCCAGGTAGTACTGGGCGATCATGGTAATAAGATCACTTGGACACCAAAGGCTCCCTAGCAGAGACATCCTTCAGGGGCAGTGCTGCTGGAACAGGAAGAGCTACTGGCCGATAGTGTTTGCCAGGCTTCTCTGTTAGGCACCAATCGAGGCAAACAGCATCACGATGATGGTGCTGAGTATGATCTCTTTCTGTACGAGAAGGCAAGCGGATGCTCATATAGGCTTGATGCCTTTGTTGGTGTGCCAGAGGCCAAGGTGGTAGGCCTACAGGGGCAGAGTAAGGCACAGTTTCTGGTTGCGTTTAGCACCATGGATGTCTGACGAGGCAATTTGTGAAGACTTACTCAGAGAGCCCGATGACTGTCACAGGCTATCAGGGGAAGCCATGAGTTGATCAACATGCTGTTCCCATTCGGGAGACTGTAATAGTGAGGTTGATGAGGTGGAAGTGCCTCCTCATCTGAAAGTGAACCAACGTAGATGAGGTTTCTAGACTCTGGTGGTTGTGGAGTCAGGGAAATGGTTTTGGAAGGCTTCAATTTCAAAGATTTAGCCTTTTTTGGAGGTGACGGTTCCGGTACCGAGGAAGTGTCCATGGACAGTTTTCTCTTAGAGGCTGTTTCGATTTAAACGGTTTTGATGTCGAATGTTTGGCTTTGTGCAATCACGTGACCGTCAATATTGAGGGCAGAGTAGGCTATCGAGGGAAGAGTAGGCTATCAATGATTGGATTGAGATGGAGTAGCCGATGGGCACTGTTCTCTCGCTGCGGAAACAGCTTCATCCATGGTTTTAGGGATTGCTCCCAGAGCCGAAGCTTGAGTCTACAGAGGCAACTGCGGAGAACTCTGTGTTTAAAGTTTTTGCAGGGAGGGGACAAGGAAGTTTGATGGCCTCACAGAGGCAAAAAAGGCATTTAGGGAGGCCGACAGAGAGTGGGATCTCATTGCAGGCTACACAGCTTTTAAATGGGCCTGAAAAGGCCATGAACTGAGAACCGGTTTTGAAAAGAAAACAACGGAAAGGGGGGGGGCGCTTGGGCCTTATAGCCAGAGCGTATCTTGTTTCAAAAATAATAATGACAATAATAATAAGGTTCAATAACTTTCCTACTTTTGTTTTCAGATTTCTCACAGAAGCAACAATTGAGGCTCTCAACGCGGTGGTTGAAGAAACTGAAGGGAGAGCCTTGGAGCCAAGGTACATATACTAGGGGAAGGGGTCTATGCTAATGTATTTTCCTTTGCTACTGCAGAAGCTCTAGAATATTCTGACAAGGCTCCGTGCATGCAGTGATTACCCATAGTGTGATTTACAGAGGCCACGAAGAAAAACCTCAGTGCTGGCAACTAAGAAGGGGGTCAATATTCCATATGGTACTTAGTATAGTGGTGCCTCACTTGACGAGGATAATCCGTTCCAGCGAAATAGCTGTAGAGCGAAATCCTCGTCAAGCGAAATAAAAAAGCCCATTGAAATACATTGAAAACCGGTTCAATGTGTTCCAATGCGCAAAGTACCTCAGCGTCCAGCTAAGATCCTCCATAGGGCGGCCATTTTCTGATGCCTGTGCAGCAAAAAATCTGTTCTAAAGCACAGCGGGGAGCCATTTTGAATAGCTGGTGGCCATTTGGAAACGCGACGATCAGCTGTTTTGATCGTCGTAATGCGAAGAATCTGTTCCCGAAGCAGGGAACCGATCGTCGGGAAGCGAATTTTGCCCATTAAAACATCATTTTGCGATTGCAAAACCAATCGCAAAAACCTCATCATCAAGCGGATTCGTCGTTTAATGAGGTAATTGTTAAGCAAGGCACCACTGTATATGCAAAGCTTTGGTTACAATTGTGGCTCATTTTTCAATTACAAATCAAGGAAGTTTAAAGGAAGAGTTCATAAAAATGGAAACCACAGGTCAGATGGCATTTACAAATTTCACAAGTCATGACACAATGAGCAGGTGCCTGCTCTTGTCCTTATTTATTGTTGCTTATAAAGTATTCATGAACTTTAAAAACAAGAAACCGGACTAAGCAAAACATTATTATTCATTATTATGATATTGCTATGTTTTACACTTACTTATAATTGTCATCCTCCACAAATTTTTGAAGTTCTTCTATATATTGAACAGAATTCAGGTATTTTTGAACATGAGGCAACACAAAAATATCTAGATAGCAAGAAACAAATATCAATAATTTTACATTTTTTAACTAAAATGTCATTCCACAAATGCTCACATTAAAATAAAACATTATTTAAAGTGCCACAATGTTTTTGATTTTTAAAAATATTTGGCTGGTACTCCCTCCTTTTACATTGATAAAAATGTCTTTATGTTCCTTACACAAACTGTCTAAAGGAGTCTGTAATGCAGGGGTCTCCAAAATGTGCATCATGATTCTGTGGGGTGCCAGGGAACTGAGCCAGGGGCACCATGGGAAAAGGGACAGAACATAGAGCTATGAAGGCTGTAGAGGAGCTGTTTGTAGCTCTGTGTTAAACAGGAACTGGACGTGAAGGTCATGTGTCTGCCTCTCCTTGTCCCATCTCTATGGTCCCCAGTGGAGGTGCTTGCTGGGTGGCCTTATGAGTTTCCTGCATAAAGACTGGAGGGAGGTGAGACATTGAAGATATTCGAGGGTGGGGAGGAGATGGGATGGCTGGGGTGGGGTTTTAAGATCCTGCGCCTGGTGGCACTGAAACCTCTCATGGCCCTTTGAGCAAAGGGGAGCCACAGCCAGTGGTCAGTAAATCAAGGGAGCTGCGAGTCTAAAATGTTTGGGAATCACTGCTGTAATGTAAAGTAATCTAATTAACAGTGATATGGGAGGTTAGGAACAGTTGTGCTTTACAGACATTTATATCATATTGGTTGCAAACTAAAGATTATATCCACAGATGCTACAATCCTATTTGGTAATAATTTCTAATGTTAAACTTGGCAACTACATCCCTCAACCAGTTGGTTCTTCTTTTCAAATATGATCATATAAACTGCTGCTGGAGAGAGTTATGGAGATAACTTTTAAGTGTGCTCCTATTCATAGAACTGGGGTTAAAACTCTAAAGAACAAACTGCTGAAGCTTATTTAGCTATCTACCTATTGTAGTATGCAAATAAACTGTGGCCAGTATACTGCTGAATAGCTCCATCAGCACAGCAGCGATAACATTACTCTTGGGGGCAGAATGCTGCTAATTAAAGTGCTTCTGTTTTAATTTCGGGTTGCATATAATCTGAAGTTGAAGTGGGATAATTTTTTAATTAGCTGCAATGTCCCATTGCAAGTGACATCACTTCCACTGTGCAACAGGATTTGGGCCTGGATCTTATTATTTCCTAAAATGGCAAGAACCAACATACATTTACTCAAAGTCTCTAAGCTTCTGTCCCACAAACACTTTGTATCACTCTCTATAAAAATCTTAAAAAATGAAAGAAGGAGAATTTTTAGATTAACATACAAATATATGGAGGAACATATGGTATACAGAATAGTATTCAGCCACTGCAATAACTTTCACAAGAGTAGCTGTAGCGTTCACCCCTTGTTATGCAAAATAAGTCATGTATTATTCATGTACTATGCTAATGTGTTCCAGAGGTGGAGCTGAAAGAGATATTCAAAGGCGGACCCTGAATCAGAGTCGGGGGTCAGAATCAGAGAGTCTAAGAGGCGTCAGAGTGAGAGTTTAGTTAGTCAGAGAGGGAACAGATACAGAATGATAACACTGGTTAAGAAAATAGGTAGAGAAGGTGGTAATGATATTGTAATAGAAAAGTATGTATTAAGAGAACTGTTAATGATTTGCTTGTGTACAATGATTATCTGAAGAACTTCTGTTATTATTAAATCTGATTCACTTCAATAAATAAGTTCTGTTTGAATTCACAAGACAAGTGTCCTGACAAATGTCATTTATATTGTGGATTGAGGTAATCCACTGGTGGCAGCAAGAGGAAAACATGATGTGAGCCTTTGTGAGGGCAAAACAAGAAGGTACCACAAAACTGAACGCCAGAATTGGTGTCCAGCGGCCGGATACGAAACAATCCATTCAAGCCAGAAGTTTGAAAGTGAATTTTCTTTGAGTCAAGGGTACCTTTTAGTCAGAGGTCTGTGGTGAAGAAGTAGATGACCTGCTAGAGCTTTTGCAGAAAAGTGTTTTAAAAAGGCTTCTGATCCCAGATCTGGGGCAACTAAAATAGGGAACGACTCTAAGGTAAAATTCTTTTGTTTGTTTACCTCAGGATTTGAGAGACCCAGTGGCTAGCTTAAAATCCAAGGTTCTGAGAGAAGAGAGCACTGATAGATAAAAAGTGGAACCCAGGGTGACAGCAGATCTGAGGTGATAGGAACCTAAAAAGCAGAGGCTTGCAAACAGAATCTGAATTGTGTCTGGAGGCAAGAAGGTTGTCTCAAACCAAGAAACATTGTGGATGGTGTGGTGCCAGAAAAAGTGTAGCCATCTTTAACTGTTGAGTGAGAGTTACACAGTACCCCAGAAAAATACTGGGAAAAGAAAACAACAGTAAAAAAGTGTTTTAAAAAGAGGCCTGACTAACTCAGTGTGGCAACCCCAGACCTACTGGAGTATCCCACCCTGTAGTTATGCTGCCACCAACCATTCCCTGTAAGGAGTCACACAGACCAGGAATGGATTTTAATAAACAAAAGAACAAGGTTTATTGAAACAACAAACAGGGTAAATAAAAGGATCAGGTAAATAGGATACTGGAACGTGGCATAGTCCCAATCATACACATACAACAGATTGGTTCCCACGGAACACTTTAAGGTAACGCACAGACCCTGAACCTATCAGTTCTGGCTACCTAGATAGAAACCTGAACCTATCAGGTATGTACTATCTGACGAACAGTTGTACCCAGTCTGAC